GGAGAAGGTAGAAATGACTCAGCCTGGAACTGAAAATATGGATGGAGGACAACAGAGCTGCTTCATGGAAGGAGAACCTCAGCTTTTTTTTAAGGATGTTGAAGACAGTTCCATTCATTTTCAGTGATAAAATGAAAATGGGCAAAAAAGCTAAATATCTCAAAAAATATAAATTTCCAAAGTACCAAAAGTCATTACTGAAATGTCCTGAAGCAGCCATAGCACAAATATTGTGGAAGGAGATCAGATCAGTGTACAGAAGAAATAATGGATCTCAACAGAGTGAAATGACAATGAAAACACAATGAACCTGCAGTCTATCTAGTTTCCTGCAGCACATTACATTAGAGGTTTCAATAAGACAGTATGACCCCATAACTCTCCAGTGAAGCCAACATACTGACACAATCTCCTCCTTATGGACTTAGGATGTTATAAACTTACATCAGGATCGAGTTCCTCTAATTCATCCTCTAACCGCTGCAGCTCTTCCTCCGAGAGCTTCTTCAGCAGCTCATCCTCATCTATGTCCCTGTACTTCTCCATCTCTTTCTTTAACACCGACATAATGAAGAGCACGCCTGGAGAATGAAGGGAAACCATCATGTTAAATAGGAATGGTTAAGTCAAGCTTTTAATTGAACAGTCAATTTCCTTTTTGTTTTGGTTTTTGTAAAGTTTACTTTTTGTTAGCTTTTGTTCAACCAAGAAATGAAAAACTATCGGTTTCACCTTACTAACCAAATAAGACAAGCAAGATAAATGCTGGAAATTTTAGACGTTGAGGACAAAAATCTGTTGGTAGAAACATCCAAAACACCAGTAACAAAACAAAAAAGATAATAAAACAGGGTGCCTGAATGACTGAAAAGCAAACAAAATAATAATAATAATAATAATAATGCAAAAGCATCATTCTTTGAAGGAATGCATATCCACCTTACATGCAATAGAAAAAAATATATCTTGCTCAATATGCTCAGCTACTACACCTAATTTACCTCAATTTGTGTAAAATTCACTTAGTTATAGCCTATTTGGACTAAGTTTCAATGGCCGTGGCGGCCATCTTGAATTGGGTTAACTCCAGAGTTAAACAGCTGTAGACGTACATTGGGAGTTTCGTTTACATCATCTGGTGGTTCATGAGATATTTTACAAACAAGACAAACAAACACAAGCACAGATTCTCTTACCTTGATCTCCACCTCTGAGGTCAAATAAAAGGCAAACAGTTTCCTTCAAGCACTCTGGTAAAACAACTGAAAGAGGCAAAAGCACAGGTGAAGAAAACCAGCTAATGCTAAAGAGATTCATTAGAAATCTATTAGACAAAAATGCTGAACCTAATCAAGAGTTCAAGTGCAAAAAACCACTCAAACAGCAGGTAAAAATAACATAACCACAGCAGTAACTATTTAGGTTTTAATTTACTAGATTTCTAACATAAGTATGAAAACAGAAGAACATGAATTTCACTTATTTTGAGTAACTACTAGGGTTGGGCAATATTGGCAAAAAATAATCATGATTAATTGTGGTATTTAGTTGATAACGATTAATTTGACAATTAATCCCCTGGAGTCCGTGGACACCTGACCTGGTCACATGACCAAGTTAGTGAGAAAGATTTGTTCTTCATAAAAATCTGTTCCAAACTGTGTAAAAATTACAGACTTCAGGTTATTCATCAAATTTTAAATTGTGTTGATAGATAAATAAATTACAGAACTTTATTTTAATGTTCATCATATTTGAAGCAGAGAGGAGCACAGAGTGGACTCTGCCTGGTGGCATTAATCGTATTAAAGTGCCAAAACGTAATCGATTAATGTTTTTCTGACGATTAATTGCACATGATACGATTATGCCCAACCCTAGTAACTACAAAAGCTACCAGATTTTAAAAGAACTTAAAACAGGATAAAAGAAAATCTGAACAAACTGTTTTATTTCCACATTTAGGTCACCAACCATTGTATGAATCTGGATCATGTTTTTACCTATTTTTAGCCTAAAAATCAGTTAACTATAGTTTGTGACAAATTAGCTCCATGGGAATTTGTATGGGTTGCAAAACACCAAGGTGTTTGTTGGTGTAAGACGTGTCTCACTGACCAGTGTCTACCAAACAGCACCAACTACACAACAATAAATTGCAGAAGACGCAAAGCTAAATGAAATAAAGACAATGAATTCAGTCAGTACAAATGTGTTGTGAACTTCACTTTTTAGCATTATCTGGGTTCTGGCTCCGATCCACAGAGATCGAGCCAAGCGTGCTTTTCTTTTCTTCTGCTTTAACTTAGATCGATGACAGGTTTCCAAAACTTTGGATCAGGAACTGGGCCGAGGTCCAAATAACACTGCAAGTCAACCAGAAGACACCAACCTGACCTGATGATACCAAACAGGCCTCGCCTGTATTTAGGTTTCTACTTCAAGAGGATGACATTTACTGTGGAGAAGTGTAATTTTTTTTAAACCACCTGAGCCAGAGGGTAGGTACTGATTCGGTTATTATGACTGACAAATAAAAATCTGAAACAGGATCTAAAGTGAGATGTGTGCACATTTGTGAAATTTAGCAGATGATGAGCACTCTTTGTCACAATAAACCTAAATAATAAAATTTAAGAAAAAAACTTATTTTTCCTTGTTTCACATGAGGCATGTTTCTGTAAAACTTGCATTCTCTGTGAAGCTAGAATCTTTTACAACCAATAAATCGGTTGCAGTAACGTGTGTCTCAAAACACTTGAAACAAATCTATCTTTGACTCCAGTTTATCCACAAAAACAACTATAAAAATACATAACTCACAAACACAAATAAAAATGTGAGTACTTCTCATGTGGTGCCTGCCTAACTCAACAGAAAACTTAAAAAGTTACTCCTCAGTCCACAACAGCTGAGGGACAACTGTTTTCCATCTGTCATGTGAATTATGTGGGTTTCTGCTAGGTCTGCACTGATGGTGTCCATTTACAGGCTTAGCAGTGGCATCATGTGAGAACTATGATCAAATAGTGATTTGCACAAACCACACACAAAGAAAATGTCCACTTTTTTCTCCTGTTTTCGCAGATAAAAGCTTTTGGCAGCCCCTTGTGTTTTCTGCAGGGGTCAAAGTGTCAAAGATTTATCAAGCATTACATTATACTTTATTTGGTGACCAAGTTGCCAAAAGTAGTCAAGATTTGATTAATTCACACGTAGTTCATGCATTTTTTTTAAGGTGATGAATCATGCAGGGAGATTTAGTGGACAGGATGTTTGCCTCAGGGATTTAACTCTGTGCACAGAAAACTAAAAAGTACAATTAACTCCAAATATACTTTAATTAAAATGTCTAATTATATTTGGAGAATTTGCTATCATGAGATAAAACCTCCAAGAAACTTTCTCATTGAGCATAAAAAACTTTCTTTTGGTGTTTTCAAATGAAATAAAATCTAATGTAGCCTACCACCTCCAGTCTTCACTTTATTCGCCTGCACTCTGTTAAGTTTTGCATTCATGTACGTACCTCCTCCGGCGCTATTAATAGCCAGTCGGGCCGGCTGGGTGAAAGCAACGAATACTTTGACCAGATATGGTTTCCCTCCGAGCCGCGGCGCGAGGTCCGCTCCGCTCCGCTGCACGCGCGCAAGTCAGGCTGAAACCGCGCTACGTGAAGCAGCCCATGACCCGCGGACAGACACCAGAAACCGGCCGATTTCTGCGTGCACACGGCCTCCCGAGCCCCGTCCCCGGCTGGGTCTTGGTGGGTTTTTGGGAAAGTTTGGATCTCGTCTCCCTCAAAGGACACTTACTGGGGAGAGATCCTCCTCCTCCTCCTCCTCCTCCTCCCTGCAAAAAGCACCATGCGGCTGCCCTGTCACTCCAATGACGTCACCAAGCGGCTCTGCGCCCATTATCGGACACGAGTGTTTTAGGACAAACCGGGGACAGTTGAAACACTTGTTGCATTTGACTCAGTCACTCAGATGGTTTGAATTAGACAAACCAAATATTAATACAGCAAATTTACATCTGTCTGTTAATAGTCAAAACATTTATAGATCATTAAAGCAGGTACATTCTTCATAATTTGCATTTGAAAATGAAAAGTCAGGTGTTGCATTTGACCCCATTGTTTGGGGCTGGTGGCAACATATTATTAATGCAATATAATTCACTGTAAATAAGTTTTGTTATATTTATATTATTGCTTAATTTATAAAAACTAAGTTATGATATTACAGTGTTTTTTATTCTTTTTGATCAAATGATGAATATAGATTTGCTTTGATGAGTAGACCTTATATACAGATGTCAAAGACTGATATAAAATACAGTTGAGTTTTTGAGACAAGGATAATAGATCAGTTTGTGAGGCGATTAATTTTTGTTTTGCCAATTGTCTCTGTACTCCTACATTATGCAACATTTACATTAAAGAAACTGGGATTTTAAAACCATTGTTGAAACAGTAGAAAATACATTTTAAACACTTTTATGTTTTAAACTATAAAATTGTCATGAATACCCAATACCCTTTTAAGTGTAAATTTAATTTCAACATCTTAATATCATCTGTATGTGCTGTTTTTATATAGATTTATTTTATGGGGACCCCCTTCCTGTCAGCCATGATAAAACCTCATGTGTTAGCTAAATAAGCTGATCTGGATACATTTTAACTATATTAGTTAAAAGTCAACATATCACTTGTTTAAACCATATAAGTTTGAGCTGGATCACAAAAACAGTGACAACAGTATAACAAAAATAAAGCTGGGCAAAAATAATAATACTTTGGTTCCTCAAAAACTGTTATTTTCAAATAAATCCTGGATCAGTTTTTGAATCTGTTTACTTTTTCTTTGAAAGGCGGGACCTCTAACTGAGCATGTACATTGTGTCAGTGTCATCACTCTAGCTTGTTTTTGTTTGCAGAAAAATTATGTTGCAACCGTCCCTTGTTGCTACTGTCCCCGGTCTCCCCTACTTTACAGGAAACTGTTAGAGATCTGAACCAATCAAATAACCTTTAATGTTTCTTTTTTGTTTCTTTAATGTAATCTTTGTCAGGTTACAAATAAAGGAAATGTTCAATTCTGCAAAGAACGGTAGTTTATTATTTTTCCCCCACTCCAAAAACAAGTTGAAAAATATTTTACATTAATGTTTTAGCTGGAATGACAGCTAAATCTTCCTAGGCTTGGCTTCAGTTTGGAGCTTAAGCTTTAGAAGATTCGCACAAAAAAAAAAAAAAAAAAAAAAACCACTATGTGCTCTAAAGAGTTTCAAGTAAAAAATAAAAATAAAAAATAAAACTCCACAACAGCAAAACCAACATGCACAAACTAGTGAATATTTGAAGACTATGTACAATAACACAGTAATTTAAGGGGTAGACTTATACAGAAATCATATAAAAAGCCCTTAAATACAACAAAACATTAAGCAGGAAAGCAGCCAGCCGTACATGCAGCACACATTTGACACAAATTAGGAAAAAAAAAACTGTTTATGCATATAAGCCAATAAAGTTTTCTTTCCCATAACATACAACTGTTACATGCAATGTAAGTCAAGAGCATAACTTTTAAACAACTCACTATGTTCTGAATCATAAATCAAAGATCGAATAAATGTTTAATTTGGAGGTAGCAGAATAAAGAAAACCAGAAACGGTGTGTTTAAATCGCTGCCATCTCTGATAGGTGTGCGTGTGAACATCCTACGCAGCTGAAGACAGATCTCTGATGTCAGCCATGATGCTGTGAATCCACAGGTCCTCCTTCAGTGAAGTGTCCACCAGGTAAACCGTCAACCTGCGCTCCCACAGCTCACCTTTAATCTCCGACACATCGCGCACGCTCTCTACCTGTGCTACCAGCGCCTTCTTCTCCACATGACTCCTGAACAACATGGAAGCCTCCTCTGACCAGTGGCGATGCTCCACACCTGCACGATGAAGCAGAATGGACTAAGTGAACGCCAATGAGGTGATACACTCATGTACTTTGTGTTAGAATAAAAAAATTAAACGTGGGCGAAATGCACTTTTGAAACAAATGATACAGGAAAAAAAGAAATTGAGATTACTTTTACACGAGATGATGATCTTATAGAATGAGAAATTAACCTTTCACAATGACTGTACAGGAAAGTATGCAACTCACCTGCCAGCTGTGCAGCAACAGCCTGGAAGGGGAGCTGTCTGAACTCCTCTATCAGAGGCTGGATGACAGTGCTGTGGACCAGCTCATGTTTACCGTAATCCAGCTCATAGACGTTAACCAGTCCGTTGGCCAGGACCGCCTTCACCTGCACACGGTGCCAACTGTGTACAGAAGAGGGAAACGTAGCTAAATGACAGGAATCTAGGAAATCCTCTGTGTCTACCTGGTGCAGAGTGTTTATTACTTACTTCTTGTCTATTTTGGCAGCGTACACCTCTCCTTTCTGGATGTTTACAGCTCTGCTGGTATTCTCCATCTGGTTGTAGTGAAGAACCATTTCTCCCATCAACACCACCAGCTTATGCAGGGACTGCCAGAGCTGGACCACAAAGTAACCCGGGTGGCAGACCACTGGCACAAACACATCCATGTTCTGGCCAGGCTGGAGACGGGAAATGATGGTTTTTCACACAACTGTTTACATTTCTTACATCACAGCAAAACTAATCCAAAAATATGTTTATTAGGTCTAATCAAACAGAGAAATAAATCTTACACAATACATGTACAGCAAATATTTGTTTCATAAAAAGTGTAATTTTATTTACTGTAAAGTATTAAAAACTGTTATAACCCTAATGTAAACTAATGTAGCGACTGCTGGCTTCTAGCTGTTTTTAGTTTAAGAAGAGTATTCAGGATTATCCTTAAATATCTTCATGATTGATGACATAACACAACACTGTCTTACTTGTTTTGTTAATTTATTAGTGTTTTAATATTTTATTCAATTCAAAATAAGATTTTAGTCTATTGTTGACATTGTTTTCTAAACTGTGCCTGCAGAGGTGTCAATCAAGAAATTTACTGTAGCGTTTTTCTTTTCCTTGCAAAATGTGCTTGTAGCTCTGAATTTGCAGTGTTTAAGTGCACATGATGTGAACCACGAAGTGTCTCGTGTAAACATGAGTCACAGCACATGAAGGCTTGGTAATACTGAAAATCAGAAAGCAGCTGACTGCAGCGACTGGCTGTGTCACAGAAAAGCTAGAAACACATGATGAGACCTACTGGTTCTTATTCTGACTTCTTTCAGAAACAGGTTTCAAACAAAGCTACATACCTGAGGGAGATTCAGCAGAGGAGGCCATGAGAGCGGCTGCGTCTCAGTTTTGATGGGTGCATGCACTTCTTTCTCACGTAGCTGTGATGTGTTGTTAACAGGGTTTGGGAATGAGCTCTTTAGAGTCAACCTCTCCACCATAGAAGTGTGACCTGAAAACACAGAAAAACACTCCAAAACTTAAAAATTCCCGTTTTTATTTTAGTCAGTGTGATTCACTTAAAATATTTGTATACTGACTAGGGATGCAAATTATCAATTAATGGATTAATCTAAAGTTGATTATCTTATAGATTGACTAATGATTAATTGATAAGCGGCCATTTTCCTAAAAACCTGACATTTCTCTTTCTATGACATGAAGAGCTAATTTTTTACACACCAAATTTAAAAAAGTACAGTATTATTTTAACAATTCATTGTGCCAGCTGTGTGAGTAAACACTGACTGAATGAACAGAGAAATGTGGATTTCTTTCACATTATTATAAAATATAACAAAACAAGAATCTGTTAAGTTGCTGGTTGGAAAAAAAAATGAAAGAATAAAATAAGTAAAACAGTTAATTCCCCCTGAAGACAAAAAACTATAATTTAAACACAGGGTATTATTTTAAGATAAAGATTAACTCAAAAAAACTAAGAACATAATAAAAATATCCCTGAAAGACGTGAGATACAAATGAGTACTAGTAATTGTTTACATTCCTTTTGCTTCTATCATAGCTGGGCTGCACAGCATGATCTGACGTCAGTTACTGTTCATTAGATTGGTTTACTGGCCAGCTAAAACCAGCTAATGTTACACAGATTAGATTAACTTCAAGTTAATATTTGTAGCAACTGTAACTTTTTTGTTGTTGGTCTTTCACACCAAGTTAAACTCAACAAGAGGAAGCTAACGTTAGCTAAAGTTAGCTTTCCATTCTGTCTTCCTGCTCTCTTGTCTTCAGCATCATAACTGCTGGAGGGTTCGGTACAGCCTTCGGTACTTTTCCTTCCAGTTTGGTGTAGTCCATTATTATCGTTGTTTCGCAAAAAATAAAAAAATAAAAAAACTAAACAAGACTCGCGCGTTTGCAGTCCCGCCCACATCGAGGCGGCTTTCTGCTCAATTTAACAGGGCCGGGTAGAGTAGCAGCGTCCTCTGCTGGATGAAGGCAAAACTACACTGAAATCAGGTTTAAACTGATGTTTTCAATAATCGATTGGAAGACATTTTAATCGAATAAAAAATTATTCGACAATTAATGGTAAGTCGATTAACTGTAAGCACCCCTAATACTGACTTCTGCCAGGAACTGTCAGGCAAAGAATAGATCATCTCACCTGTATCCACGATGCTGCTGTCAGTGGTCAGTTTCTGCCTCAGCTCCCACTGGGCCAACTGATGGTTGATGCTCTCGTGCAGCTCCTGGCCGTCACCACCGACGAACAGGTACATACAGACCACCTTCTCCCCCTTATACTCTTTTAGATTAGAGATCTAAAATAAAAACAAAAGGAACTAAGTGTAAAAACATATTCGGCATTTTTGGCTAAGACAGGGTTTCTGCAAAAATCAGCCAATCAAATTTAATGCCATTTTGAAAAAGCCTTCAACAGTGAACACACATTTATTAAGGGTCATTTTAAAGCTCTTTTTGAACTATAAATGCATAAATTATCACACAACTTCGTTTGACAGAAGATTAAGTGATAACGAGCATTTCCCCCCAATTTAAATCTATATAAATGAGCATCACAGAACCTAACCTTAGGTTCTCACCGCATATTTGATTCATTTTGTCCAGCTGTAGACTCTAAAGTCAAATTCACACTCCCTCTGAACTGCCGAAATCGGTACGGATTGTCGCAGTTTCATGACAAAAATAACGTCACCAGTGTTCCCAGTGTCAACTTGGCCGCCCCTTTTGGCACAACCCGCCGGCAGAACTTTTTACCCCCCTCCCGCTACGATGGTAACGTGTGATTGGTCTGAAGTTCATGGGTGTGTTTGTCTGTGCTGAATGTGGTTGGACGCTGCAATTGTCCAACCACTCGGTTAAAAAAATAAAAACAAAAAACTCTCTTCCAGAGCTGACTGTTACCACGAAGCAGACTTATATAAAGATAGTCAAACCTTGAAAAACTCGTGGAGGTAAAACAGACGATGTGCACGGAGGGCTGGGCGATATGGCCCAAAAATTAAATCCCAGATTTTTTTTCATTCCAAATTCAATTTTCGATTTTAATCAGTTTCCCACGTAACAGAGTGCCTGTTTCAGTTGTTGAAACGAATATTATCGCTTTATTTATCGGCCACAATCAAATACAGCTAATCAATCACCCAGATAAACATGTCTGGCTGAGAGGAGACAAAACCAAACCATCCGAGGGGTTTCCAAAATTGCTAAAAAAATTAAAAATAATAACATTAAAGACTACCTTAGCTCAAATTTAATGCAATTTAAGGCATTGATTTTAAATAACATACCATAACAAACCCATTTAACAGGGTTCCCACACCTTGGTCAACATCAAATTCAAGGACTTTCCAGTACCAATTTCCTCAAATTCAAGAACCGAAAGCGACGGCAATTACCTGCTGTTACCGCAGAATGTTACCAATAAACAGGTTTAAAGGCACAGTGTGTAGGATTTGTTGTTTTCAGCGACATCTAGTGGTTGAATCATCCTCCCTGGGCCGGGTGGGTGTGTGTTCTGAGACACAGCCCAGAGGAGGAGCTGATCCCAAAAGGTGGTTCTAGTTCCAACCAGTCGTTTTTGCTCCCCTGCCTGCTGCCTCAGGACACTACAGGATTTATCAAACATGCATGAATGAGTCAAATCAAGACTCTGGACATGTTTTTGATGAGAGTTTAACATTATAATATGATATAAAACTCAAAAAAGTTGATTTTACATGATATTGCCCCTTTAATATAACCATACTAGTAAAATCTTAATGTTTTACAAGTCCTAAATTTTGATAAGTCAATTTAAATTTGCTCCAGCTCATTTTTAAACATGTAATTTATTCATAATTTAGTTTTAACTGTAAAAACTACTGTAGACCAGGAGAAAATTATAGCACCTATTAAAGCAGCTATTGTAGAGTAAAACATGTAACATGTTCAATGATCAGCTCTTTCACAAGTATTAACTTACAGTCAGAGATCTTTTTTTTTTTTCATTTTAATGTAAGCATTTCACTTTAAGTGAATGTGTCATAATCTGATTTAAATTTCAACTATGATCCATTTGTCTGTTTTCTTTTCTAATTTATCTTATTTTAGATTTCACCTTCATTTTGCAGTCTTCTTTTCCCAGCATGGCCTCATTCAACCACAGAATGGTTTCATGGCTCCAGCCTCCTCCTGGGACAGTGATGTCAGCCAGTTGACATTTAATAGTCTGCAAAAAAAAAAAAAAAAMAATTTGCCCATCTGTCAGAAAAGGAACAAAATTATCCATGAACTGCTAATTACAGATCTTTTCACAAAACAAACCAATCAAATTTACGTTATCAGGGTTCTTACAGTTTAAGGCAAGTTAAATTTAAGACCTTTTAAGACTTTTTGATGCCAAGTGAAATTAAATTTAAGACCAATTTCAAAATAAACACAAATGACAATAAATAAAATAAAATAAAAACTGTGGCAGAAACTTATAAACAAAAGTATTTTTGGTTGAAGTATTGAAATATAGCTAATAGACCAATAGTTTTTATCCATATCTAACTATAGCAGAAACATTCTTAGCAGTCAGTTTTAAACTGTGACATCAGTTTTTTTGTAAGAAAAGTGAATGCATTTTTGGAAAGACAAAATTACCATATTACAAAACAAATTTCTCATTGCTCAGATGGACAGTTGTTGAGATATTTGCATGTGAAATAACAGGAAGTGATGTCAAAGGGGAATGTCTGCATGTGAATATTAAAAAAAATGTTACCAATTATTTTAATATTTGAAATGAATCATCCTATGTACAATGTGTTAACATTTTTAAGACATCTGAAAGACTGATTTAAGACATTTTAAGGCTAATTAAGGCCTTATTTTAGGATTGATGAATTCAATGACTTAAGACTTTTTAAGGATCTGCAGGAACCCTGATTATGTTCATAATCATCCATTAGCTTTCCCTTATTCCGGGTCGGGTCATGGGGATAGCAGCACCATAAAGACATCGTTTTGTACATTTTAAAAACTAGAGAAAATGAGCTTATTAAAATCAGTGGATTGTTGAAGCATCTTGACACTTTAATTAACAAACCTGTGGTGGAATGACAACCAAAGCTTTCAAAAAAAGAAGGGGAATCTCTCGAAGATCGGTGACTTCAACGGTTGCAGACACCCCGAAGTCCATGAAGAGAATCTCCATCACTCTGTTGCCATACATGTTGGTCAGCTGAAGGTAAAAATTAAACATGGTCAAATCTCTGCACACAACTTTTTCCTAGATCCAAAAGATAAATCTATTTTTGGAATTGGGGTCCCACCTCTGCTCTGGCCCACTTTCCTTTGTAGCAGGCTAAACAGAACTTGCCAGTGAAAGGTCTGGAAACAAGGGACTCAAACGCCATCTTGTAGAAACAATTGTATCAAAATTAATATTAAATCTTGGTTGTCAAATATATTCATTACCCAAACCTTTATGTTTGTCATCACAGTGCACTTCAGCATCATCTTCAATCTTTTCTGCCAAAACAGCTCTAACATTCAGGAATGGACATCAACTGAATTTCTGCAGGTCTACTGTTTATTTGGCACCAAGCCATCAGTAGATAACTGTGAAGACTTTATATTTTTTTATTCATAAGCATCTACTCAGATTCACTTGGAAAATTCAACCACAATTCGAATCAACCGCAGCTCAAAACTAATCCAGATCTCACTACACTGCGCCTTTATTCAGGACACTGGCAACCAAGTTAAACGAACCAATTTGTGGAACTCAACATCTTGTTTACCTGAGAGGTGAAATATGCATCTACTTCTTCAAGCAACTTCCTCAGCCTGGCAGTTCCTCGGGAAGGCAGCTGACAGAAAATGGTTCCATCAGCGCACACGCTTGAGATGCACACATCCTGATAGGTAACATTTAACTACAGGAAACAGGGAAAAAATAATGTTAGATGATGCTAAAGAATTTAACCGTGTGCCGCAGAGGGTTGTTTGTTTTATTGCTTGAATTCAAACTAAAACTAAAAGTCAAACAGTTAAAAATAAAAACTTTAAAGAAAATTGATATGAGAACGTTCTTCATGTTATCATACAGAGAGCGGGTTGTTCATCGTCATGTCCCACAGAGACTTCAGGCACAAGGTGTTAATGTTGATGTCTTCATCTTGAGACGTGTCATAAAGAACAGCTTGAGGCATTTCATTCTGTGGACATGAAGGTAATGTTTCCATCAGCAGGATCTTTCCAACTGCCAACTTATCCAACAAGGACAGCAACAGAGAATGGGAGCTGAACGCCTCCAGGCCTGGTAGGAAGAAAACAAAGGAAAAAGGTAAACACTGATTGTATTTGAGGGAATGATTCAAAGATAATTACCAGTTTTCCCAGACTATAAATAGCATTTCTTTAATAATTGATTTCACAAAGTGTAAGAACAGACATTCAATCTGAAATAATACAAAACACACAACCCATACCCGATCCCTTAATTTACATAACCAGTCTAGGGCTGCACCGATTAGTTGAAATAATTGATGATGTCGATTATGTAAATTTGTCGACGCAGATTTTTTATTATCGATTCGCTGTTTTACATAACCACCAGGTGAATGTTCATGCAATTCCATTTCGATACCTAAACGCATCATTGCGACTGTATTGGCATAAGAGTGGTGAGTTTTCCATGCTTGTCCTGAACGCAGCATCGCGCAAGAGCGTAATGACG